AATAATTTAAAATTTCAGAAAAGAAAAGAAAGTTTAGTAAAGAACTTTCAATTCCTTAGAGGTAAATGTAAATATTTTTCTCTCTTTATTATTACAGAAATTGCTTTTAGCCCTAAGTATAATTAAATTAATTAAAATATCTATAACCATGAGGCAGATAATAGTAAGGGCTTATCACACCAATGATCATGGGCACAAATGCTCAAGAATCAAAGTAAAAACATTGAATAAAACAAAAAGGGGTGTACAATAAGATGATTACATAATTATAAAAACCGTAAAAATCCAAAATTCATTTCGAACTATTTTCCAATAGAAAAATAGTCCCTCATCAGTTGGTATTAACGAGAGGTCTTAGTATACTGAAAAATTATACAAGGTGAAAAAAAATTAAATCTAAAATTAAACTTAAAATTATGCCTAGAGCTATACAATATAAAGATGAAAACATTGCCATGACTATATGAGCAGTAAGCATTGTCAATGTAGACAGGAGTAATATTTCTTCCTAACGTTGCATGGTGACGTGACGAACAGGGTGCTGATACAAAAATAGTTATGAGTTAGCCGAAATATTGGTTAACAGTTATGAACTAATGTTATACAGCCAGTTTAAATTATATACATACCAAAAAAAAACAGTAGGACAACAGAGTTGCAGGTTCAGACATTTCCACAAGATGCAGGGAGCGGTTGCAAAGGAGGTGTGTTACCTTACACATGTAACCGCTCCCTGCATCTTGTAGAAATGTCTGAACCTGCAACTCTGTTGTCCTACTGTTTTTTTTTTGGTATGTATATAATTTAAACTGGCTGTATAACATTAGTTCATAACTGTTAACCAATATTTCGGCTAACTCATAACTATTTTTGTATCAGCACCCTGTTCGTCACGTCACCATGCAACGTTAGGAAGAAATATTACTCCTGTCTACATTGACAATGCTTACTGCTCATATAGTCATGGCAATGTTTTCATCTTTATATTGTATAGCTCTAGGCATAGTTTTAAGTTTAATTTTAGATTTAATTTTTTTTCACCTTGTATAATTTTTCAGTATACTAAGACCTCTCGTTAATACCAACTGATGAGGGACTATTTTTCTATTGGAAAATAGTTCTAAATGAATTTTGGATTTTTACGGTTTTTATAATTATGTAATCATCTTATTGTACACCCCTTTTTGTTTTATTCAATGTTTTTACTTTGATTCTTGAGCATTTGTGCCCATGATCATTGGTGTGATAAGCCCTTACTATTATCTGCCTCACGGTTATAGATATTTTAATTAATTTAATTTTTCTCTCTCTAATTAAAACTAAAATAAGAATAATTTAGTTATAGTTGTCAAATTTTAATTCAACAAAATACTTACAATGACTGGTTCTATAAACGTGACTAAATGGCAAAATCGACTTCTTTCTTCAATTAATACCTTGCGTACTGCTTGTTTTTCAGTTTCTTCTAATAGTAAATATTTATCATTGACGTCTTGTAAAGCACTGTTTAATGTCCTTTTAATATCACATATCCCAACTTAAAAAAGTATAAAAATATTTCCAATAAATACAAAATACATTAGAATAAAAAAGATAATTTAATTTTTAAAAATACATATACATCTTTTTAATAATATAATNGAATTAAAGGTGTTTTTAATTTAATAATTAATTAATTAACTACTGCTAAGTTGTAGCACATGCTGGAAAACTGTATATAAAAATTAAAGAATTCATATAAATGTAATACTAAATAAACTGTGTGTCAAATTATTCCGTAATAAATCAATAAATTGTTAATTTTTAACCTAAAAAAATTTTGAACTGCTTAAAAAGCGAATACTTTTTTGAAGAAAACAAGCATATTCCTTTTTTAGATAACTTTTCCCTTTAAATGAAAACAATTTATTGTTTACGCACAGTAATTTATAAAATACAATAATTGAATAGTGTACTCTTTATTTCTTGTTCTCGTAGTTTTATTAATTAATAAATATTAGATTGGTTTATTTGGTTATGACAACGCGACATGTGGACGATATGCCGGGAGGGATGCCTCCCGGAAGGTCTTCTGAAGAAAATGGCCCTATTTAGGTGCTACAATTTCATGTTAAAAAAATTTTATTTTTTACATTTCATTGATTGATTATTGCAGAGCAACTTTCATAAAAGCCTAAGTGCTTCGTCACAATTAAGCCCATTGCAGTATAAGTGAATGACTGGCAATGGAATCACGGTCAATATGCGCGAGTAATGAATGCCACGAATCGCAATATTCGTACATAAAAGTATTCTATATTTTCAGATGAGGTTGAAATTATTTAAAGAAGAATCTGTATGATAAATTAAGAAATAAACCAAACTGATTTAAATAACAAGAAATGTAAAAACTGGGAATTCATCCTATATATTCTTCTTACAACTTTCAAAATGTCATAAAAGAATGACATTTTTTCACTTTCATTGTCAAATAGTAATTTTTGAAAATGTAAAAATAAAAACTATTATATTAAGGATTTACAAATGGAGTTAATCGATTGGCCTGTGAATGACTCAATTATCAATTGTTCTCTCTTAGTTAATAAACATTTTTTTGGTTATCAAAATCAACAGTATAATGTGCATTTATTTGAATTTGATTGTTTTACAAATAATAATTTTCTATTAACTGGGAATATTGAATTCCTATTTCCAATTACAAAAAATTATTAAAATCTTTATTCCACCTAAAGAATAAAATTCAATGAAAATGAAAATTTTAATTTAAATTGTCCTTAAGTATTTAAAAATAAATAGTAAGAAATGATATTTTAAATTTTACTAGCTTACTGTTTTAATATACTGACTTTTAAAATAAAATATATTTAATTATTTCATAATTTTTCACATTATTGTGATTTTTTTATTTTATGATAACAGAGCTTCACAGTAATCTATCATTGCATTCTAAAATTTCAAGTTTATCTTTCAGGGAAAATCTTTGCATTTTTTATTTGCTTCTTCTATTATGTTAAGAAGTATAGTATAGTACTGTATTTTAATTAAACAGTAATGAAGATCACAATCTTCAACAAATAACAAACAGTTAGTCTATAAATGAAGTAACAAGTACCAGAAATTGAAATTTAAACTACAGTACTGTATACAGTATTAAGTACAAGATTAAAACTAATGTTTAACATATTAAGAGTAAATAACAGATTAAAAAATTTAATTTATATTAATTCTGACTGTTGTACTAACAATTTTGTTGGAACAACATGGCTTCTAACCATTATTATCTGTTTTGTCAGTTGGCTAAGCAAATTCAAACTTACCATTATAAAGAATTTCTGATTACAATAAGTGAAAGTTTTGTACTGTTATTTAATTTATATGTTTTGGAACATGTTGATTCTGATAATATTAGTCTGATAACAATATCCACAATGGATATTGCAATAAGTAGCACTTACTGTACACAACACATACACACAAAGCCACAAACATATTCATGCATAATATTAACAAAAATAATTATAAATGAAATTTACATATAATTCAATATTAATAATTAAATTTTGACCTTTTTACATTATTATTATTATTATGACATATTTCATTTTTATTTCTGTCAAACTTATTACAAATTAGTTATTAGATACCTACAACTAATCATTTTATCTGATGAATAATAAATAAACAGGGGAGAAAAAAATCCATAAAAATATTGTTGCTATGTTTGGCAATATTCTAAAAATTGAACAATTTTATACTGGATTTTAGCTTCATAAATTTACTCTTTGTAACCTACTCTAGATGATTTACAATTTTTTTTTACAATTTTGATTGCGATTTTTGCAAAATCTTGACAAATATTCCAACATACATCAAAAACTATCCCATCAGTTTCAAATAAGTGTTTACATAAGCTGTATTCTATAAATTTTTCACATACAGTGGAACCTGCTTAAGGTGGCCATTCTTGGGACCAAGATAAATGGTCAGTATATAGAGAACACATACATTATATNCAGGGCTGCGTATTTTCTTCCAGAAAATTCTATTCCGATAGTCCGATAATTTGGCAGATAGTTTGTCTTTAAAATTATTTTTGATTTGTCCCACATCTTAATTAAGCATGTGAAAATGACCAAAAAAGTGAGAAAAGTGAGAAAATGACCTGAAAAGTGAGAAAAGTGAGAAAATGACCTGAAAAGTGAGAAAAGTGAGGATACTTCAGAAAAGTGAGTACAAGTGAGAAAAGTGAGTGACTCCGAGGCCTGTTTAAGCTTCACATCGTTGCCCCAATGTACACGAGGTCAGAATTAAAACGACGATCCTTTATAGGTATAGAATATACTCCCGTCAAGCTATTTCGATTATCTTTCTTCTTATCACTCCTTAACATTCTATACACAGTTGGATTGCATCGATATATTATTCTTAGATTATTTTTGTTGGCAACTTTCCTAATTATCTTGTTAAGAAACAGAAAATAATTAAGTACCACATTTTTTTTTTATCAGTTTCGAGAGGTTGTTGGTTTTGTTTCTGTAGCCTTTTAATAAGTGCCTCAATCTCACTTCTGCGGTATCCCTGTTGCGCCGCTGCTTTTTGTATATAATCTAATTCCTCATATGTATCATATAAATTCGTGCAGTGGGTGTACACTCTTTTAATCCATGCTCTAAATGCCGCATATTTAACGTGATTAGTATCCGTAGAATTCTTTGGGATGATAATAGATTGATAAATCGGTTTGCGATATATGCTTGTCCATATTTCCCCTTCTTTACATGTGATCGATATATCCAGGAAGTTAACATTCTTCTCGCTTTCTTGGTCCAAACCCAAAGTCAACCCATATGGGTTATTGTTGACCTTGTCTATAAAATTCTGTGCATTGTCATCATTTCTCCACAAGATAAAAATGTCATCGACATGTCTGGAGTATATTACTATACCGTTACTAAAGATGGGTAGGATACTTCTTTCGAGCTTCTTTGGGCTGCCCATAGGGACGCCCCTTCCTTGAAGATATGTCTTCCCTTCAAAAACGAAAAACGACGAATGACAAACCAAATCGGCTAGTTCTAAAATGTGCTTGTGATATTTCCTAGCATTTTTTATGTTGGTAAATAGAAAGTCCCTCAAGGCACAAAAACAGGATGCTAATTTTATTGAAGGGTATAATGCTTTATAATCCATTACTGTCATATATTCCTTGTCCTTAAGCGTAACCTCCCGCAGCTTCTGCACTAGTTGTACCGAACTTTTTATGGAGAAGGGGTACTCCTGAGCCTTATTTCATATAAACTTGACCAGTTGCTTTTCAATAGCAAAAGTTGGCAAATTGCATTTTTCTATAACTGGGCGTAGCTGAAAGTCTGGTTTATGTGTTTTCCCAAAAGCAAAAATTTTGGTGTTCTTGGAGCTCGAATGACAGAATTCTCCATTAGTATTGTTCTACTCAATAAAATTGTATTCTATTTTAAGTTAAAATATAAAATTTCAACAAACATATTGGAATTTTTTTAAAGGTAAGCCATGGATTAATTGCCGGAAAAAAGTTGTTGGCGTGCCAAATATGACACAGCAACAACTTTTTGAGTTGCCTACCCATGCTAGACCATTTAATAAAAATGAATGAACTTATGCAGCAACCAAGAAATCAGAGACAGCATGATTTTAAATGATATAAAGAAAATTATTTTAAAAGAATAACAATCTTCCAGAAGTATCATCTGGAATAAAAATAATGAGATATACAAATCCAAGAATCTTTAAGATTCAAAAAGAGAATTAAAAGCTTTGTCTCATAATAGAGAAACATAACTCTTCTAATTCATATGTCTAAGAAAGGATAATTCTTATAATAATGAAAAATTAAAATTTTTAATAAAGTTGGTCTATTAGAATTAGTTTAGAGTTAGATGCACAGTTATTGAAAAGGAAACATGTAATTCTAAATCAATGTAAGGATATTTTGACAATTGTGATTTAATAATCCTTCAGAAGTCATACCTGTGTCAAATTGCTGCACAATTCTGATAATGTCTCATTTAAGACATTGTGCATAGGTGGTGCAGAAGTGCACTTCAGTATTTCTTATTCATAGCATACATCACCATCTACATGTATAATGATTTTAATGATTTTCCTGTTTCTAACCACTTAGTTATTTCTGAGCTCTGAATTAGGTGATATCATATCTGTGATGTAACTGCCACCACATAAATAGAAAAGTTACTGAAAATTATATTTACATCATAAGATATGTAACCTTATGATGTAAATATAATTTGTGGTAATTTTTCTATTTATTTTTAAAATGTATTTGAAACAGTAGTCTACTTTTTGCATACCCATTGCATAAATATTTTTATTTAAAAATATCATAGTTTCAATAAATTCTTAGACTTATATTAGTTTGAAAATATACCAAACAGTTTTCAGGATGCATAGATTTTCAGGATGTTTCTAGCTCTTACTCAGCTTTGACCCAGAAGGAATTAAATAGTGCTTTAAAACAAGTTGTGAGGGAATTGATAGGAA